GTCTGCAAGCCCATGAGCAACTTCCGCTTCGGGGAGAACCATGCCATCATGGGCGTTGCCTTCTCCTGGGTCATGGCCTTCGCGTGTGCGACTCCCCCACTGTTTGGCTGGTCCAGGTAGGGAGGGTGCTGTGCCCGGCACCTGAGGCTGCGGGAGCCAGGCTGGCAGCACTCGGCCATGGCTTCCAGCTGGTCTCTTCTGCTGGGTGCTGACCTGCCTGGCTCACCTTGCAGGTACATCCCCGAGGGCATGCAGTGCTCGTGTGGGATTGACTATTACACTCCGAAGCCAGAGATCAACAATGAATCCTTCGTCATCTACATGTTTGTGGTTCACTTCACGATCCCACTGTCGATCATTTTCTTCTGCTATGGGAACCTGGTTTGCACTGTCAAGGAGGTGGGTACCTGCCAGTGGTGGTGGGCCAGGGGCCGCCCCCGTCCCCAGTGCTGGGAAGGGGCCCACGCCAGGCTCCAGACTGGTGACAGAAAGGGCCCCCGCGAAGGGGGAAATAGCAATCTCCAGACGGGCAGCTCAACTACCCCAAGCCCTGATCCCACGTGGCATGCCAGCGCAGCCCTCCCCAGCTCCATCAAGTTTCCATTCCCTTCTGCCCGCAGGCTGCCGCCCAGCAGCAGGAGTCTGCTACCACCCAGAAGGCAGAGAAAGAAGTGACCCGCATGGTCATCATTATGGTCATCGCCTTCCTGGTTTGCTGGGTCCCCTACGCCAGCGTCGCTATCTACATCTTCACCAACCAGGGGTCGGACTTCGGGCCCATCTTCATGACCATCCCGGCTTTCTTTGCCAAAAGCTCCGCCATCTACAACCCTGTGATTTACATCGTAATGAACAAACAGGTAACTGGCAGGATGCCAGGCGATCTCCTTTTTTGTGTTTCGCTTTATAACAGCTTGCAGAGAGTTACAGCACCTCGAGGTACCAGTGGTCTGGGAGGGGAGTTTGTTTCCAGGTGGTGTTCGGCATGCAGGAGGGTGACCGTGCAGCTCAACCTTGGCGTTGCATAAATCTCATAAATGCAAGCCCATCCTGTCTGAAATGACCCAGGCGCTAGGTCGGTGGAGGAGCTGGAGCTGGTTCACGCCGGCCCTGAGCAGCAGGCAGGGCAGGCAGCAGGCAGCGGGGAAGGAGGCTGCACTAACATGGCACCTCGGCAGGCAGCAGGCAGCGGGGAAGGAGGCTCCACTGACATGGCACCTCCCGCACTGCGGTGGTGGGGGCTTCCAAGCAGCTCTGCCAGGCTCGGAGGCAGCCCCGCAGCCGGAGCCACCGGGCGTCCCCCTGCCTCACCCCGGGCTTCCCTCTCTTCCAGTTCCGTAACTGCATGATCACAACCCTCTGCTGCGGCAAGAACCCGCTGGGCGACGAGGACACGTCTGCTGGCAAGACAGAGCCCCCCTCCGTCTCCACCAGCCAGGTCTCTCCCGCGTAGGCCCCGCTGGAGCGGCCAGTCCTTGGGGCATGCGTCGCCGCCCCGGGAGCACGAAGCTGCCACCACCCGCCCCCGCTTCACCACGGCCACAGCCCCGCAGGGCGGGCTCCTCTCTCCTGGCACTAGGAACCCTGGGAACAAGGCTGTAAATGTGTACACACGTTTTGTAATTAAAACGCAAAGGCTTAGCTCCTCCACTGGCGTAAATCCACGCTTTTCTTTTGACTTGCTGAGAGCTCGCGCCCCCCTGCTCCAAGTGCAGACCCCTGGGTCTGATGCCCCCGTCACGCCTGCACACCCTGCATCGCCATGCGCGAGCCCCGGGCCGCGGCAGAGCCACCCTCG